TGAGTGTGTGTGTGTGTGTGTGTGTGTGTGTGTGTGTGTGCTGGGCGGGGGCGGGCAGGAACCCACTGCCAACTCCTTTGGGCAAAGCAGCTTGCTCAGCTTCCTCCTGCTTCTCTCGCATTTGTTCACCGAGCTCAGGAATCCTGAGGGCTGACTATGTGCTTCCACTGCTTTTTTTTGGGGGGGGGTCATTAAACTTCCCCCCAAATTAGGGGTTAACTCCCCATTTTTCAGATGATGAAACCGAGGCTCAGAGCCGTTGCCTTGCTCACACACAGCCAATCAGCAGCAGCAGAACCAGGCACTGTACCCACCAGGACGGGGCTCTCTGTGCCTCAGGACTGACTGGTCAGCAGCCGAGGCCTCGAAATACAGCTTCTGAGGGCCAGCTTCAGGGAGCCAGCGGGAGCCGGCCAGCGCTGCCCGGGGCACCGAGGGTTAAATGCTGCCCTGTACTGCCGCCTTCTGCCCTCAGCAACTTTATTGTCTTCAGAAGAGTTTACCCCCCACCCCCACCCCGGCAGTGAGCAAACAGCTTCTTGGTCTCTGTCAGCTGGGACTGGACCTGGAGGAGGGCCCGCAAACCTGGGCCTCCCTGGGCCCCTGCTGCCTGCCCACCCCCTGGGAGGACGCAGACTGGGACCCCGGCCGGAGTCCCGCTTGGCTCTGCTGAACTGGTTTTGTCTTCATCCTCCCCATCTGCCCCCATCTTTGTCCCGGGAGCCACCTACTTCCACAGCCCCAGCGGGCCCGGGCCTGGAGAGGCTCTGAGCTCAGGCAGGGGCTGGGAGAGAGGGGGTGAGTGGCTAACTGTGGGAGCGGGAGCTCCATGAGGGGAGCTGTGGAGAGGGGGGTGGGGCAGCCCCTGCTCCGAGGATCTGCCACAGGCACAGGTCGTCCCCTCTGCGGCACACACCCATCCATGACACCTCCTGTGCTGGCAGCAAACTTGGGGTTCCTCTCCTCCACCCACCTGCCCATCAGAACCCCAGCCCGCCTGGGTGTTCCCTGACCCTCCCCCTGGCCCCGCATCCAGGGCTCCCACCACTGCATGGAGCTGCCTGTGCAAGTGAGACAAGGCAACCATTTGTCTTCATGTGAAGAGTCCACCATTTGGCTGAAACCAGGCCCTGGTCACTGCAGGTGGGTTTGGGGGAGAGGCTATGTGGTGGAGAACAGATCCAACCCCCATGTTGGCCTTTTCTCCCTGCGCTGAGCACACCCTGAGGCTTGGGGAAAGCGGGCTGTGTGTGTGTGTGTTGGGGGGGCGCTGTAGTACATTTGCCTTGAATAATGGGGTTTGTGTCAGCGTCCTGACAGGCTGCTGGGACAGAGGAGCCTCAGGAGA